TTTACTATTGTAAATTTTGCTAAACGATACCTACATGGTGAGGGGCTGATAATCATGCATAATGAATTGCTCTATGTAAAGTAGGTACCAATCAACGAAGTTGTTCTCATTTCATTTGATCTTAATATTGCTTCATAAGAGTATACGGCATATCTATTTATGATGTATCTGTGTATATGTTATATCGTGTATATGTTTTATTTGTATTTTGTTAATATTTGCTCTGTTAACATCATAATTTTCAATTATGAGGATATTGGGTTTGTCTATATTTTTGTATTTGCCTTTTTATTTTATAGTCATTTATTGACTTGCAATCAAAGGAAATAAAGTTTTTCGATTAAAAAGTGGTTCTATTTCATATCTTCATTACTTAAGTGACTGGACGATGGTATGAAATACTGTACGCAGCATTTGTTTTTTTATGTTATTTAAGATTTAAAATTATTAGTTTAATAATTCTTTTCTGATTTTCTTATCGTTTTTAAGTATATTTATGCTCCTATGATAAATTGATTATGACAGTATAATGACACTTATTTATGACCTGTAAGAGTATTTTTATAATATTTTCGGATTTGTTGATTTTAATCATTTTTCAGTACACTTATTATTATATAATGACAAAGGTCATAATACTTATTACAAGAAAAAGGTCTGTTGTTACATAATTTTATTAAAAATTAAAATGTATAATGTTTCAGCACTTTCAGAATAGATTGCAGTCAAAATATGTCACCATGCTATAAGAGTAAAATATTATGTTTAAAACATGAATGTTCATTTTTCTTTCGAGTCCAGTCGTCCAACTAAAATATGATATGCATAACATTATAGAGTAGGAATATTGTTTGTTTTGGAATTTATGGTTTAATCCATCTCCAGTAAAAACATTACAATTCATCTTTAAGAACAATTATTTTTAATAATTTTAATCGACTTTCTATGCCACCCCTTGCCACCACTCATACCTACAGTTAAATGTGAACTCATTGCTATATCATATTATGTCTATATTATATTTCTTTCGTCATGACTAGTTGTACATCGCTATTTTTTGCATTTATTGCAAATTAGTCGCACTCGAAATTCATCCAAATACATACGTAAGATGAGACCTCACAAAACTTCACTAAAAAAAAAATAAAAACATAATATGTATTACATTTAAAACTGTAATATAATCTAAAATCGTATTACAAGCGAAAATGAGAAGTACGCGTTAAACCACATATTTTTTTCCTGCCCATTCGTAATGGCCGAATCGTGTACGAGTTACATGGTAAAATGAAATGTTAAGAATTCTATAGTCAAATACAAATAATTTATCAAAAATAAAAATGGTTATATATAAGTGTCATAAAACGTGTTGTTTGATTTACAATTCTTTCATTTTAAAGAAGCAAAAAATAATATCATTTATTATCAAAAGATAGCATATAATATTTGCTATACCAATTTTGTGTATCTAGTTAGTTTAAATAGTTTTACTGAATATTATAATTTATAATACTAAGTTACATATTTAGAATTGCCGATTTATAGTACAACGGAATTTCAATAATGTAATGATAATGGAATAATTGATAGGATTATTTAATTAGTGGGTATAAAGTTATGTTATCACCAGCATCTATATTCTAAAATTATAAATGACATGTATTGTTAACGCGAAACACATATCTTTTAATTATTAAGTGCAGGTACCATTTAAGTAAAAATATGAAATTACTATCAAAAACTATATGTATAATTACTTATTTTAAATTGCTTGTGAAATATTATTGATAAAACAATAAAATACATTCTAAACAAAAGATGTCTTTCATAAATATTAAACATTTAACATATTATATATAAAAAAACAATATGCATTTTATTAATGTATAGGTACCTACTAATACTTTATGTATTTAAAATATATAATATTTTACCTATATGTAGATATAAATTATAACCTACTAAAGAATGTGTACAAAATTCGATTTAATAGTAATTTTCGAACCACAACATAATATTAATTCAAACACATACGACAATCATACCGGTATATATAAAACGGGAATATGAGGAACAATCGATTTCTATTTTGCTTATAAAAAGTACAAACCGATAAAAAAAATTAAAAAAATTGTAAAGGTTTAGATTATAAATATATTAACAATAAATAATACATCAACATTTGTCAATGCCAACAAATAAAACCCATTCATCATTTGCCATCAACTGTTTCATCGCGACGTCATGAAAAAAAATATAGGTATAATATTATGTATAGTTATATCAATATTAACTATATTGATATTATTGTACTTACCTATTTATGTATATATATATATATAAAATATAAAATTATGATAGTATCAATAATACAGAAATCTAAGTTTAATACAAAATTCCTCTCACCGTGAGATTTTTCTTCAGGCACAATACGAGTGTACCTTTTTACGATACAAACATATATATATATAATGAAGGTACATTGTGTGTAGAACATAGGTACTTATAATACTTGTTTATGCGATTGGTACTATAACAGTAACTATATAGTAAGTATAGTAAGTACCTCTACATTACACTACCCATATTGCTCCAGATAATACAAGCACATTCGTGTTATATTATTTGATGTAATATATATTATACGAAAATATGTTTTCTGTAACAATAATATAATAATATATATTATGGTTAGGAACATAGGTATAATATCGTGGATAAACTACAGCACGATAATGGAGTAATGTTGTATCGTAACGTTTTTAAATATATAATTATATTATCTATATTCTATAGGTTATAATTGATTATAATAGTTTTGTAGAATCTCGTTATACTCAAACTTAGTTATTATTACACACTTTCGGTACATGCCACATGGCTGCTGATTCAACATTATACTGAAACATTATTGAATCAATAATTTAATATAAATGTAATTCACTTCTCACGAAGATGAAAATACGTGTCATTTAATAACGATGAGTTTATGCTAAAAAGTATAAGCTCAAGGATAGAACGTGAGTACCAAGCCTATTTACCTTGAAATCAGTAATATTATCGTCTTTCGTAAATGATAGAAACACGGTAAACACTGAACCTACGACTGTAGGTCAGTAATCGCATTGATAATCGTCAAGTTGAAAGTACACGATATCATTACAGTATACCTATCCCGTATCCGATCTCGGAGCATTCTAGTTAAAAATAAATTTAAAACTATTGAACATCTAAAATCGAAATGTTTGAGATGTGTTTCACATTGTCGTTCGAGACTATAATATAGCTATGAACTTATGAATAACAAACGAACACCTACGACCTACCTATATAATATTGTAATTACATTTTTAAATATACCCAAACACGATTAGTATAAACAATACGTGTTTACGGAGGCGACAAAGTCATGTATACATTTTTATAATTAATCAAAGCCAAACATTGCCGATAACTTATCAATTATTCAAACGTATATTATTTTAATTTACATTAACCGGTCTATCTCAAACAGCTTGTCAGAAATCGACAAACTATAATATTAAATGTCTAACATTTTTACAGTTATTTAATATTATATAGTGGAGTTTTTTTTTTTTTGCTATTATTACCTATTTAACGAGTTTCAATATTTTATAGATTAATTTTACTTTGTCCTATAATATATTACAATAAAAATAAATTGAATGTCAAATATAACGGGCATATATCTGTATGGAAACAAAGCCATTTTTTTTTTTTTTGATTTTGAATTTAAAGCTATACCTACCACGAAACTATATTATTATGTATTTATTATACATATATATAATATTATTTATCCGATATTGTAATCCAATAAGAAGCTATATTGGGAGAAAAAAGCATTTCATTCGTGAAATAATTCGAAATATTATATTACATAGACCGTCAGACTGATGGTTAGTATAACTTGGGAAATGTATTATAATAATATTCTAAGAGCTTGGAAATAAAATTATACTTGTGCAATTGGTCCAAGCCAAAAGCCGCACTCATCGATTAACACACCTTAGAATTGGATTAAATTTATTTAGGACCCTGGAAAACTAGTTTGGCTTCAAAATTAATAGAAACCATATAACTCTCTAGACGGGGCTTGACAGTTGCCGTGACGTATAAAGCGTTTAAACAAAAGCAACGACTTTCATGTGTGTGTGTGTGTGTGTTTGTGTGTGTGTAATATATATACATTTAATTTAAAAAAAATACTTCCTGTATAACGTTTCAAACTTTTATTATGCTATCGTTACATAATATTCGGTTAATTGTTTAAAAAATGACTTATTTTATTTTGAATTATTGTTATAGATTGTTACCAATTACCCAAATACAGGTTTATTTTAGGTTTATATTTTAGCCTTTAGGCGTATAATAATATGTGGTTTGTGTCTCCATCATCATCTCATATTGTGTCGCCTTAATGGCTTAATGCCTCCAGAGACATGGCTACACGTATGCATCTACTATTATAGTCTATAATAGATTTATACTAATAGAGCAATAAACTTGCATTTATCTGTGAGGAGGTATTTAGTATTTACAACACAATAATATATTAGTATTATTATTATTATTATTATTATATTGTTACTACCATAACACGATCTCCCCGCTCCCGTATATTATACAGCTTATAGTGTCGAGTGTATCGATTTTAATATATTAGTTGGGCTAGTTTTGCATATGTTGTCTTTACACATGAAATATCGATTGTATAAATATAAATCGTAATGGATATCATCGTACCTATATATATTATTATTAGCGTTCACATATATTTCAGAATTCGAGATTTCTTAAATAATAAATATTAAATACCTAAATAATATACTCGTACTGATATAGATATAATTTTATCAATATGGGTCAAACTTTATGCATCGAGGATTAGTTAACTTCGAGTACTATATTTATTTACTTATTGCGTACCAATAAAGTAATACACTTATTTTATTTGAAATGCCTCTATTTTGTTTCAGTATTATAAAATGCCAATTCAAGAATCACACGCTACGAGATGACGCAGAGGGAAGATGTACTTAAGTTTGAACAGGGGCGAATTAAAGCCCTCCAAGAGGAGAGGTTACACATACAAAAGAAGACTTTTACCAAATGGATGAACTCATTTTTACAAAAAGTAAGAGCGTTATGTGGATTTGCAAACCAAATCGATGCGATGTGCGCCTATTGCCAAAATATACATATTTAATGAATTTTATTTGCGAACCGTATTATACAGGTAAGAATGGAGGTGGACGACTTGTTCGTTGATTTGGCGGACGGACGAAAGCTTCTCAAACTATTAGAAATAATTTCCGGCGAAAAACTGGGCAAACCAAATAACGGGCGCATGAGGGTGCACAAGGTGGAAAACGTCAACAAAAGCTTAGCGTTTCTCCACACCAAGGTATTGTTACAAAACCGTTTTAGTACATTGATATCGGTTATAATATTATAACTAGCTCTTTTAAGGCAGTATAATTTTGTTCCAAAACAATAGTTGCTTATCAATAATCGTTATGCTCAAATAGGTGAGATTGGAAAGCATCGGGGCCGAAGATATTGTTGATGGAAATCCTCGACTGATTTTGGGTTTGATATGGACAATAATCTTAAGATTTCAAATTCAAGAAATTGAAATCGACGTGGTAAGTGATGATCTTGTTTAAGATTTGACCGTAACCCACCTATAATATTAAGTGTATATTAATATATTATTATAATGACATTTTACTAAAATTTCAAAAAAAAAAAAAAATATAGGATGAAGAAAATGAAAGCAGTGAAAAGAAATCGGCCAAAGATGCTTTGCTTTTATGGTGTCAACGCAAAACGAATGGCTACAAAGGCGTTAACATACAAGACTTCACTAGTAAATAAATAATTAACTCAATAATATTACGCTAAAATCAAAATACAATAATCAATAAATACTTAAAGCTGAATCGGAATAAGCCTGGTACCTTTGTCATATTTTGTTATAAAATTATTGCTGTTGAATTCTATAGGTTCTTGGAGAAATGGCTTGGGATTCAATGCCTTAATCCACTCTCATCGGCCTGATCTTCTAGATTTTCCATCACTCGAGAAGAATACAAATATCGACAACCTAAACATAGCGTTCGATGTAGCCAATAATGAATTAGGAATTCCCAGATTGCTAGACGCTGAAGGTGAAATAGATCAATTTTGTTATTAATTACCTACTGTAATAATATTGTATAAATAATAATATTATGTTTTGTTTGAAAATAAAATAGACGTAGACATAAACAGACCAGATGAAAAGTCCGTAATAACGTATGTTGCCTCGTATTATCATACTTTTGCGAGGATGAAAAATGAAATGAAAAGCGGACGAAGAATAGCCAACGTAATTATTATTAACGCTTTTTATGGGAATTTTAACGAGTGTTGTTAATTTTACGAGTTTTTATCTAATGTAATATATATTTTTAGATACTCGGTCAACTAATGGACATAGATAAGAAAAAAATAATTTATGAACAACTAACTTCCGACTTGTTGGAATGGATACGAATGAAAATTAAGGAACTAGAAAATCATAATTTCCCTAATTCCTTAGAAGGCATTCAGCGTGAACTATTAGCATTTAAAAAATACCGGACTGTTGAAAAACCTCCCAAGTATGACCAGTTTGTTTTATATTACATTTTGATGTTACATATTCGTTTCCGGTGTGCAGGTACATAGAACGGAGTGAAATTGAAGCTCTTTACTTCCATATAAATACTCTACTCAAATCGCTTAACCAAGGTGTGTTCATACCCCAAGACGGACAATTGATACATGACGTTGAACGTAACTGGGAAGCCCTAGACAGGGCCGAACATAAACGCGAAGTTGCTCTACGAGAGGAGCTATTGAGACAAGAACGTTTGGAGCAGCTCAATTACAAATTCGAAAAAAAGGTATGCAAGACTTTAATATTAAATTAATCACTTGGCCACTCGGGTGCTAACTTAATACATTTTTATTTTGAATTTTAGAGTGTCCTTCGAGACGGTTACCTAAAAGAAATGATCCAAGTACTGAACGATCCTAGGTTTGGCAATAGCTTAACTCAAGTTGATGCAACGGTGAAGAAGCACGAGGCTATTAGCGCTGATATCATGGCAAGAGAAGAACGGTTTCACGATTTAAATGCCATGAGTGATGAGTTGATTAAAGAAAATTACCATGGCGCTCAGAGAGTGAAAAATAGGGAAGAAGAAGTACTACAGCGGTGGAAAGATCTTTTAAAACTCTTGGAAAGTCGCAAAATAAATTTGAACAATATAAGTACCATGTTTTCTATGCTTAGAGAGATAGAAACAGTTTTATCTACCATACAGGTAATCTTGACTTCCAAACAATATTTTAATGAAATAAATATTTTATGAAGCTGATCTATAATTATGCTGTTTACTATTGTAGGAAATTGAAGCGACTTACAAATCTGAAGATGTCGGACCTCATCTACTTGTTGTAGAAGACTTATTGCAAAAACAAAACTTGACTGAAATGCAAACTACAGCCATTGGTGAAACCGTTCGAAGATTAAATAGGCAAGGTCAACAATATGTACCCTCCAAACACAAAGATACTGCTTTATTAAAAGAAAGTCTAAATCAACTCAACACTGCATATGACAGGTGAATACTAAATGTTTAAAAATAAATATAGAAATATACTCATTATACATTTAATTTTTCCAGGCTGTCTGAACTAAGTAAAGAAAGAAGAGCTAGACTAGAAGAAGCAAGAAATTTCTATCAGTTCATTGAAGACCATGAAGATGAAGAAGCATGGCTTGTCGAAAAGCAGCGAATTTGCAGGGCTGACATTTCAGCAAAAGATTTAAGAGGTGTATTAAGTTTACAACAAAAACATAAAGTGCGTTATTAATGATTAAAAACATTTTTAAGTGTTCATATAGTAATAAAATAGTTTTACTAGGTTTTACTTGATGAGATGAAAGTGCATCGTCAAAAAACTGATCAAATATGTAAATCTGGTCTGAGTATAAATGCCAGTGAACCTTCGGAAGTTCAATCGAGGGTTGATTCTCTGCAAAGCAATTGGAATTCATTAAATAGCTTATCCCAATTGAGAACTAAACAATTACAAGATGCGGCTGAAGCCTATCAAGTAATTCATTATTTATTAGTTTTTATATTTGATAATTATATTATCGTATATATATATTTTTAGTTTTATGCTGATGCAAATGAGACAGAATCTTGGTTACATGAGCATTTAACAGTACTTAGTACTTCTGACCACGGAGTCGATGAACCGAGTGCACAAGCTTTGTTGGCTAGACACAAAATTCTTGAAGAAGAGTTAGATGCGTATCAAGGAGACATACAGTCATTGAATACTCAAGCTGACAATTTGGTTAAAGCAGGAATATCAAATATTTTGGTAATTTCATTTATATTAGACTATATGATTTTAATAAATATTAATTGTACAAATTAAAATTTTCAGTTGTCTAATGATACAAATCAAAAAGTTCAAGCTGAACCAATAGAAGAATGGGTGTTTGAAACAAGGTTACTTCCCCAAGAAGTCTTAGAAGAAGAAATAATCGAACATGTTGAACACCGAACTGTTGTAGAAGAACGACAAGTGCCTCAAGTAAAAAGTCTGTACCCATTTAATGGACAAGGCATGACAATGACTAAGGGAGAGGTGTGTAAAATATTAAAATAAGATTTATAATAGAAAAATAAAAACATTGTTGTATTATAGGTGATGTTCTTGCTAAATAAAACAAACCCAGATTGGTGGAGTGTAAGAAAAATAAACGGTCAAGATGGTTTTGTACCAGCTAACTACGTTTGTGAAGTTGAGCCTAAAATTATGCAAGTATCAGTTAGAAGGCCTCATGTAGTAAAAAGTACAAGAAAAGTCCCAAAAGTCAAAATGGTCAAACAAAAGGTTCGAGTTAAGAAAACTAGAACTCCAGAAAAAGATGGTAAACATATTAGTGTGCTGTTGATAAAATTAATTTTTTTACTCACAAAATATTTTTTATATAGAGCCAACAAAGAAAGATGACACCAATCCTAACAATGAAAGAAGTATTGAAAAACGTATAACGAATATTAATGAGACTTACACAAAGTCACAAGACTTAGCAAAAAAGCGCCATGCCCTTTTGGAGGACTCTATTTGTCTTTACGGATTTTATCGAGAATGTGATGATTTTGAAAAATGGATTAAAGACAAAGAAAAATTATTAAAGGCTGAAGATAAATTAGACACTGTTGAATCAGCAAAAAGAAAATATGAGGTAAGCACATATATTGCGACTACAATCATGTATTTGTTTATTAAATTTTATCGATACAATTTTGTTATAGAAATTCTTAACTGATTTATCTGCAAGTAATAAAAGAGTTGAAGATATTGATCGGGCAGTTAAAGATTTTAACAAACTTGGACACAGTCAGCTTGATATGATTACCAACAGACAAAAACAAATACATACAATGTGGGATCATCTAAATTGGTTGAAAGCACAAAAAGAAAAGAGTTTAGAAGGAGCCCTTAGGTATTTTATACTTAAAATTTATATATTAATACTAAACATTTAGATATATTATAAATAAACATTTTTGATTCAGTGTGGAACTATTTGAAAAAACTTGTGGTGAAGCCAGAGATTGGATGACAGAAAAAATGGATAAACTTGATGGAGCTGAAGTAGGATTAGACTTAAAAACTATACAAGCTCTACAAAGACGGCATTTAAATTTAGAAAGAGAATTGGCTCCAGTGGAAGAAAAAGTAAACAGGGTTAATTTGTTGGCTAATTCAGTGAAAGTTTCTTATCCTAATGAAAAAGGTATGTCTGATACAGAATTCATAAATAAATGAAAATTATTGACTTATTTTAACATAATTTATTCTTTTAGAAAATGTCATTCAAAGACAAAAAGAAGTTCAAGCTTTATGGCAAAATGTAAAAAACAAAGCTTTGGATCGGAGATCGCGTTTAGAAAGTGCTGTAGGGCAGCAAATTTTCATGAATAGCTCGAAAAATCTCTTGAATTGGTTATCATCAGTTAAAGAATTGGTGAACACTGATAATTCTGCCCGTGATGTTGTTACAGCAGAAAATCTACTTAAAAACCACCAAGTATTATATATTTTTTTTATAAATATAATATCATAAAAATCAATATCACTAAAATAATATTTATTTACTTTAGGAACTGGGTGATGATATTAGAGCTCACGAAGATGAAGTGAGAGAAGTTTCAGAACTGGGTAGACAACTATTATCATCTGGTAACTGTAGTAGTAACGAAGTCAAAGAACGCAACAATAAATTAACATCAGAAGTAAATAATGTTACTGAAGAATGGGCTCAAAAAAAGGAATGGATAAAACAATGCTTGGCCTTACAAATATTTAATAAAGAAGCAGATCATATTGATGCAGCTACTTCCGGTAGCGAAATGTTTTTGGAATATGCTGATTTAGGAGTAAGAAGGGATTTAAATGTTAAGAATATATTTTAAGTTATTTCATAAATATATATTTTTAAAGGGGTCTGTTGATGATGTTGAGGCACTGTTAAAACGACATGAAGATTTTGAAAATTCACTATATGCACAGGATGAAAGATTAAAAACTTTCTGTGAAATGGCAAACAAGCTAATTTCAGCTAACCATTATGATACTAACCAGTAAGTAGACTATTTTTTATTGAAAATATAAATAATACATTCTACAGTTTAGTATCTATAAATAATCATATTTTTTAGTGTTGATAAACGTAAAGAAGCAGTTTTGCATCGACGCAATTTGGTAAAAGACCAAGCAGCAGTGAGGAGAAATGCTTTGATAGCAAGTAGAAATTATCAAGCTTTTCGAGCAGATGTGGATGATCTTAAAACGTGGCTAACAGATAAGTTGAAAACCGCAAGTGATGAATCATATCGGGATCTTACAAATATTGAAAGAAAACTTCAAAAACATGAAGCGTTTGAATGTGAATTACGTGCAAATGAGGGTCAACTAAGGAATATCAATAAAGTAATTTATATTTTTTACACTTACCATCCACAATATTGCGTACTAATATAATTTATTTTTCAGTGTGGTCAAGGTTTGATAAATGAAGAAAATTATCGAAAAGATGAAGTAAAAATAAAGTTATCAGAATTAAATAATGACTGGAAAAAATTGGTTGAAGTCAGTGTAGAAAAGGGCAGATGTTTGAGACAAGCAGCAGCACAGCATACTTATAACAGAACATTAGACGATGCATATTTCAAGCATGAAGAGCTAAAAAAGGACTTACAATCACAACAAGTGGGAACAGATTTGCGACATTGCAAACAACTTCTTAAGAATCATCAAGTTGTAGAAACTGAAATCCAACATTGGAAACAAAAAATTGATGATTTAGTTTTTGCTGGTGAAGAAATGGCCCAAGATGGTCATTTTGATGCTGAAAATATATTACAATCTAGTAAAAAATGCCAACAAATGTAAGTATTAGTTTTATAATTTACTAATCCACTTTTTAATAATATTATTATTTATATTTAATATCATATGATTATTAATGGTCCAGGTTTAATGGATTGGACAAACCGCTGAAGCATAGAAAAGCAGCTTTGGATGAATCATTACGTTTCCACAAATTTGGTTTTGAGTTAGAGGCTGAACTTAGTTGGATACGCGAACATTTACCACTTGTTGAGTCTGGTGAGTTGGGTACTAATCTTCACCAAGCTCAAACATTGTACAAGAAACACAAAAAACTAGAAGCAGAAATACAAGGTCATCAACCTATGATCAATAAAACCCTAGAGTCAGGTCAATCGTTAATTCAACAGAAACATCCAGAAACGAAACAGGTAGTGTTTCATATTTAATTATTGTTATAGTTATAGTTATAAAATTTAAACAAAAATTAATAAACATTCATTTATCTAGGTTTCATCACTATGTAGTGGACTTGAAGATGCGTGGAAAGATCTATTAGCCAAAGGCGAGGATAGGAGTCGCAAACTTGAATTAAACTTAAAAGCTCAACAATTCTTCTTTGAAGCAAGTGAAATTGAAAGTTGGCTACTTGAAAAAAATAATATGTTATCTTCTACAGACTGTGGTCGAGATAGAGATGCAGCATCTAAACTTCTGACAAAACATAAGGTATGATGAATATACTTTTGATTTTTAGTTATCACTGTATGTGATTGTGTCATATTGGTTTTTACTTTTTGTTACATGTATTTTGTATCTTGTAGGCATTAGAACTAGAAATTGATACATATGAGGGTATTGTCAAAGAAATGTGTCATACTGGAAATAATATGATGAACTTGAAACATCCAGATATTAAAGCTATATCGTCTAAACAGCAATATATTTGTGAACAATTCAAACTATTACAAAAATTAGCGACAGCAAGACAACATAGATTAGTTGAGAGCATGTGCAGGTAAAAAATACAATGATTCAATACTTAATTGAGTTATGTAAAGTGTACTAATTAATTTGTCTTATATTAGGCATGAATATTTGATTGAGAATTATGAACTTGAACAATGGATTCGAGATAATATGCAAGCTGCTTCATCTGAAGACTATGGCCAAGATTTTGAACATCTTTTGGTGCGTATTTAAATATATAATGAAAATAACATGTTTTTAATATAAATAATTCAATAATAGGTATTACAAAACAAATTTGATGATCTCAAACACCGGGTGGAAACAGGATCTAAAAGATTTAAACAGTGTGAAGATCTTGCTAATAAATTAGTAGCAAACGATTCTGAGTATACATCTGAAATTGAGAAACGGCAAGAAGAGATTAGAGAACTCTGGCAACAATTAATAGTTACAATAGAAAATCGGGAAAAACGCCTCAAAGCTGCTGGAGAAATTCATAGATTTCATAGAGATGTTGCTGATGCATTATCTCGGATTAATGATAAAGACGCTACTATTTCTGATGATTTAGGAAGAGATTTAAACTCGGTACTTACTTTAATCAGAAAACACGAAGGATTTGAAAATGATCTTGTTGCTTTAGAAGCACAACTTCAGGTAAACAAACACAATACTGAAGTAAATTAACATACTTATTAAAATGTTGTTTCCACATTAGATTTTAGTGGAAGATGCGGTTAAGTTGCAAACACTCTACCCAGGGTCAAATGCTACTCATATTGCAAAGCAACAAGAAACTGTAGTTCGAAGTTGGACTTCACTTCAGGATCGCTCTGCACATAGGCGAGAAGCTTTACAAGCAAGCTGTGATTTACATAGATTTTTAGCTCAAGTAAATTTTGTTATTTTTTTTTCATTTTATACGTATAATAAATTATCACTAATTATTTCATAGGTCAGAGATCTAGTCAATTGGTCTAGTAGTTTGAGGGCTACTATGTTAACAGAAGGAAAAGTAAGAGATGCAGCAAGTGCACAGCTTTTAAAAGGAGAACATGAAGCTGTGAAAGCCGAAATAGAAGCTAGAGAAGAAACTTTTCAAACTGTTGCTGATCTTGGAGAAGCATTAGTACAAGGAGGTCACTTCGCAGCAAATGTAAGTCTGATATCGAAATACATTTTAATTTTATTGTATTAAATTCAATTTTAAAATGTATGTACAGGAAATTCAAGAAAAACTTAATCACTTATTGGAAGAACGGCATCAATTGCATTCATCTTGGCATCATAAAAAAGTTCATCTTGATCAACTTATTGATTTGCAGTTCTTCCTCCGTGATGCTAAACAAATAGATACAATTTGCAATACACAAGAAGTAGCATTAGCAAGTCTAGAATATGGTGATTAAATTTCTATTTATTAATTAATGACAAAAAATTATAGAATTGCAATTCTTTAATTGGTTTTATCAATCTTATTTGTTTTAGGAAATACTGTGGATCAAGTAGCTTCGTTGGTAAAAAAACATGAAGGTTTTGAAAAACTATTTGAAACCCAAGAAGAAAAAATTTCTCTCCTACAAGATCACTGTCATAAATTACTCAGTCAAAATCATTTTGAAAGTGATTTGATATCTAAAAGATTGAATGAAGTTGTAGCTAGGCGAGCGCAGATTCGAAAACTCAGCATTTTAAGAAAACAAAAGTTAGATGATGCTTTATTGCATGCTCAATTTCTACGTGATGTTGGAGAAGCTGAATCATGGATCAGTGAAAAACGCAAAAAGTTGGATGTAGAAGTTAGCAAAGGTGATGTTAATAACTTGGAAGACAAAATCAAAAAATTACAAAAACATCAAGCGTTCCAAGCTGAACTTACAGCTAACCAAGGAAGAATTAACTCTATAAAAAATAATGGTATGCTTTTAAATATAATAAATTTTTTAGTTTTTACAATATATTATTTAGTATTTACTTTTATTTGTTTATTGTTATAGCTGATATGTTGGTTGAAAAGAAGCACAAAAACTCAAAGGACATTCAAGATTCTTTAGGAAAGCTTTTAGTTTTATGGAGAAATTTGTTACAAGAAACTAATGAAAAAGGCAGAGGTTTAGAAGAAGCTCAAGATATTTTAGAATTTAATAACCAAGTAGATAAGGTAGAAACGTGGATTAGAGACAAAGTAAGATTATATTTTTTCTATTAGATTTAATTTTACCTAAATCCACATAATACAACAATAAAATGTATTTGAAGGAAATGATGGTCCAAGCTGGAGAAATGGGTTTGGATTATGAACATTGTTTAGCATTGCAAAGGAAACTCGAAGACATCGATAATCGAGTTGATGAAGGAAAAATAGAAACAATTAATAATTTAGCTGATAAACTTATTAGACAAGGGCGTAGTGATACTCAGTCAATCCAACAACGTCGACAAAATCTAAATAATAAGTATGAAGAAATTAGTTGGTTAAAATAATTTATTATAATATCAAATATTAAAACTTATTAATCAACAATTATGTTTTATTAGGTGGAAGGCACTTCAAGGAGCTTTAAGTGAATACAGAGAACATCTAAATGGAGCACTAGAAATACATTCATTTAATCGGGATGTTGATGATACTTTGCAGCGAGTTAGTGAAAAAGCACTTGCAATGTCTAGTAATGAAACTGGCAATAATCTGGGTGGTGTTGAGCAATTACAAAGAAAACAAGATGCCCTAGAACGAGATATGACAGCCATTGAAGGAAAAACAAAAGAACATGATGCTGAATGCAGGCGCCTCATTCAAAAGTATCCAGACATGTCTTCTCCGATCAAAGCTAAACTGTCTGAACTACAAGATAACTGGAGAAACTTGCATATGTTGTCGAAAAAACGACGAGAAGCTTTAAGTGATGCATATATTAGAGAAAAGTTTTTATCAGAGTTAAAAGAAGCTGAACTTTGGGTTGTTGATTCAATTAAAAAAATTAAAGGGCATGATATGCCCATAAATATGGCAGAAGCAAAAGCTTTATTAGAATTAAACCAAGAGAGAAAAGCCGAAATCAATGGACGCCAAGAACACTTTAAGACATTGAAAGAATCTGGGTTGAAAATAAATCCAATTCCTGAAAAAGAACTTGCTCACCTTGACGAATTACGCAGAACATTGAGTGCAGCTTGGGAAGAAAGAAGAACTATGTTAAGCCAAGCTTTGGAACTACAAATATTCAAAAATCAAGCTGATCAAGTGGACAATTGGTTAGCATCAAAAGAAGCATTTTTGAGTAATGATGACCTAGGGGTGAGTAATCAATAGAGTAACTAATAATAATTATAATAATAATAAATCAGTTATTTACATAATATTTTAATTAGTATAAAAAATAAAAATGTCTAATTAAAAATTTTCCAAAAAATGTAGGAATCACTGTCAAGTGTGGAAGAATTAATACGAAAACATGAAGCTTTTGAAAAAACATTAACAGCGCAACTAGTCAAAGTTGAAGAGTTAGAAAAGTATGCTTTAGATCTCGTCACAGGCCAACACTATGACAGCAATGGAATACAAGGTCGACTAGTCAGCATATGTAATCGAAGAGATAGACTTAAAGAAGCTACAGCTTCTCGTAAAAGACGTCTAAATGATTCCAGGCTTTTACAACAGTTCTTAAGAAATATGTATGAGGTAAACAAAATCAAATAACTTAATGAAAGACATTATTATAAAAACAAAAAAAATTGTTTAACATTTATAATTTTAGGTGGAAGGATGGATAATTCAAAAACAACAAGTAGCTGGAGATGAAAGTTACAGAGATCCAACCAACTTACAGCGAAAAATTCAAAAACACGCTACTTTTGACTCAGAATTAATTGCAAACCGTACTCGTGTTAATGCTATATGTACAGAAGGTGAAAACTTGATCAGTAGCGGTCACTTTGCGAGTATGGAGATTCGAGTAAGATTAGACGAACTTGAAACGAAATGGAGACTTTTGCAAGAGATGAGTTCTCTTAAGAAACAACGATTGCAGGATGCTTATCAAGTAGACATTTCTTCTAAATTTTTAAAACATTGACAAAGGTTTTAATTCATCATAAAAATGTTATATTTTTAGGCATTATTATTTAACCGCACGCTAGAAGAACTCGAAGCTTGGACAGAAGAAGTAGAAATGCAATTACAATCTGAAGACCACGGAAAAGATTTGCAAAGTGTTGTAAACCTGTTGAAAAGGCATTCTCTGTTAGAAAATGATGTTCATAGTCATGGTGAAGCTTGTCAATCTCTGAAAGATACTGCTCTAACATTCCAAAATTCTGATCATTTCATGAAAGATGAGATACAAGAAAAATCTCAAGCAGTTCTTAAGAGGTATGTAACAAAAACAAACTCGTTTATTTTGTCATAACTAATTTGAATGATTTACAGATATAATTCTCTTCAAGAGCCAATGCAAATACGAAGGGATAATCTAGAAGATGCTCTAATAAATTATAGGCTATCACGAGATATTGAAGAAGAAGTTACTTGGATTAATGACAAGGAATTACAAATCAACTCCCAAGATTTTGGCACAAGCCTACACTCAGTACAGGCATTACAAAATAAACATCAGGTAAGTTTTATTATAAAATAATTCATTAAATAATAAATCTTAAGTATATATTTATAATAATTCTTGAATGATCATTTGTTGATGTTTTTTTCTTTAAAAGGCTTTAGATGCTGAATTAATATCTCATGAACCAGTGGTTGCAGCTCTAGTTGAAAGAGGACAGCAAATGGTTCGTAGTGGTCATTTTGCATCACAACAAATTGAAGTAAATTATAGTGTCCTCCAAGAAAAGATGTCCCAACTTAAAGAACAATCCAAGATTAGGAAACAAAAGTTATTAGATGCTTATGAATCACAAATGGTTAGTATTCATTACTCCAATGCAATTAAATTGATGTGTCTAAATCTATTCCTAATTATATAGTTCTATGCGGAAGCAAACGAAGCTGAAGTTTGGTTAAAAGAAAAATATCCTTTGTTGGCATCTAATGACTATGGCAGAGATGAAGACTCTGTCCAAACTCTTATGAAAAAACTTGAAGGAATAGAAAGAGAACTAAACACATTCCAACACACTCTTGAAAGACTAGCAAAATTGAGTAGGAATCTTGTAAATCGATCACATTTTGATTCTGAAAATATTTTACGAAAACAGGTACTACAGAAAGAAAAATTACTTTTACATTATAATTATTAATTGATTTTTTTTAGACCGATATTGAAGAAGTTTACACAGAACTCTGTACTTTAAATAAAAGAAGAGCAACTAGATTAGTAGAAAGTCGCAAATTCTATAAGTTTATTCGAGAAGCTGAAGACGTTGCCGAATGGATAGGAGATCAAACAACAGTAGCTGCCTCAGAAGATTATGGTCGAGATGTAGAGCATGTGGAACTTTTAATCCAAGTAATTTACTTTAAAATGCATACTTTTAGTCAGAATATAATTTTAATCTATATTTTAGGCATTTGAAAGCTTCATGAGCGGTTTAAACGGCAGTGAAGGGCGTATCTCGAGTTGCATAACCATTGGCCATAAGTTACTTGAAGAAAATAATCCCGAACAAGATCAGATTAGAATAAGATTAGAAGATACTCAGCAGCTGTGGGATGATTTAAAAGAGTTAGCGAATGCTAGACAAGAGGTAAATATATTTTAGACTCTAAACGAACCTATAAATGTATCAATCTTAAATTGATTATTGGTTTGTTTTTTTGCTTAAGAGGCACTTTACACAATTTATAATAGAAAAAATGGCTTTAATTTTCAACTTCAAAATCTTTTTTTGGTAGGAGAGTGAATCTAGTTTGTACATTTTGAAGGTCAACTCTCTCTATGGCTTATACCTACACAAAATTAATTATATTATTTAATATTAACAATTTCAAGTATATTTAAGTTTATCATAACATATTTATTATATTTTGTTACTCGAAAACAACTTATATTATTTATTTATAATAAAATGAGTATTATATAAATTAAATCAAAATAACCATAAATTCTCTTGTAATAATACAGTTTAATAATTTAGTAAAAACAAAATGAAAATAATACTTTTAAGTACCCAACAATGGTTGGACAATACCACAATGATGGTTTAAGCCAAGACATATAACATTAATTGTATTTTAAATAGAATAATAACAATAACCACTGTTCACAAATTAAACATTTGACGGAGCATTGAATTGATACTACTAGTGCTTTAAAGAATAAAAGTCCAAAAATAAAATCGGATGAGTGAAAATGTATTTTACTTTTAATTGGAAATGTTTTATTCTCAAATCATTTCTCTCTCTAAAATGTACTATTGATGTTGTGTTGTTGAAAAGTATATAAGACAATACTATTTTTTTTTTTATGAATATTTTATGTTTTGTATTATTTACAAGAATAGTCATAATTAATTACAGTTAATATTTTACGCACTTCTTAGACATACTATACCATCTTGTCAGTGTATTAATTATATGTTTAAATATACGTGAAATGCAATTCTTACCTATGTTAATCGTAATTTGTACTATGATGACTAATATCGTTGTCTATAAATGGTTGCAATTTGACCAGTGCCAGCAATAAATAAATAAAAATGTTAACATTTTAGGCTTTGATGGGTGCCAAACAAGTGCATGTATTCGACCGAACCGCCGATGAAACCATCAGCTGGATTCAAGAAAAAGGTGGGCTGTTGGCTGCCGAAGATTACGGCCATGATTTAGATACAATACAAACTCTAATCCAAAAGCATCAAGGTTTTGAAGCAGACCTCGCCGCAGTCAAAGAACAGGTACTGTTTTACTAAAAATAAAAATAAAAATAAAAATAAAAATAGTAATTGTATATAATTTACATATTTTGATTTATATCTTATTGTTACTCATCAGGTGGAATGCGTCGTACAAGAAGCCGGTCGGTTGTCAGCCATGTTTCCTGATGCCAAAGATCACATCGAAGTAAAGCAAGAAGAAGCAGTGGATGCTTGGACCACGTTACTGGAAAACGCGAGTCAGAGAAAGAGCAAGCTGAACCAAGCAGAACACTTGCAGTCTTACTTCGATCAGTACAGACACTTGATGTGAGTAACTTCAAAACGTAATACTTACTTAATTTTTAATAACGTGTATTTTGTTGTTGTTTTTTTTTATTATACCAAACGGACATTTAGTGCGTGGATAAACGAAACCATTGCAAAAATCACGTCGCCAATGCTCAGCCAAGAGGTGAGCGGAGCGGAAATGCTCATATTGCGACATCAAGAGCACAACGCCGAGATCAACAGCCGATCTGAAGTGTTGGGCGAGTTCTATCAGACCGGTAGAAGTCTCATTCAACATGTTCGTATAGAGTTTACGCATAACTTTCGTCTTTCGTGTTAGGTACCTTAACTATATCTAAATATAATAATTTGTGATATTTTAGGGTCATTTTATGTCGGACGAAATCAACGAGAAGATTCACATTCTCGAACAAAGACATTATTTCATGACCGATACGTGGGAAAAACGTAAAGTCTTATACGATCAGAATTTGGACACGCAGGTATTTACTATATTATAATTGACAATATGTCAATATTATTGCTCGACGAGCAAACAATAATATTATGTCGGCCCGCTTACTTTAAATACGACTCACGTTCACCTGTATTTTGTGTTTGTAGCTGTTTAAACGTGATGCGGACCTGCTGGAGTCGTGGATACAAACCCGAGAACCCTTGTTAAACGACGATAAGCTGGGTGACTCTATATGGCAGGTCGAAGAACTCATCAGAAAACACGAAGACTTCGAAAAGACGATCGAGGCGCAGGAAGAGAAGTTCGATACGCTGAAAAGGATTACTCTGGTAAATGTTTTTGCCAACCAATAGATTATAACTCGAATTGTAAATAAATTCATTGTAATGAGCATTGAAGAAAATGGTTAATTATTATGTATTTAATATGATATTGGTTGATTATTTATACATGCACTTTTTTTTTTTTTAACTTAACGTTCGTGTGTTAAACATAATTTAACACTGAACTTCAATAACCCAATGGTTAATTAATTTCATCATATCAACATTATGTATTGTATCTGTGCAGTTGGAATTAGCGTTCAAGGAACAACTGGAGACCGAAGAGCGGGCCCGGGTGGCGGAAAAAGAACGACTGGAACGAGAGCGGCTGGAAGCTCGCAAACAACGCGAAGTGCAGCGAATTACGGACGTAAGTTCATCCGAGGATTTACCCATACGTTCGTTTTTTTAATATGTTTTTCTTCATTTTGCAGGAAAGAAAGAAAGAAGGCGACCGGTGGAAGGTGAACAATGCTGGCGAAACGATGAACGGCGACGATGACGATTTCGACCCTAACATGAGGTACGCTATTCAATTGAAATATGTATTTTTCCACAAAGCTTTTTATACGGTTTAAGTTATTTAGTTCTTGTGAAACTATAATATGGTGAATACTCGCATGGAACGTTTTGTTTCTTTTGTTGTCTTTATTTTTATAGTTTGATAAGTTTATTTTAACAAGAGTTTTCATAGAAAAAAATGATACTAACACAAAATTATATTTTATAAGATACTCGTGTACCCTATACAAATACAATGTTATTATTATTTGAAGTTTTTCTTATGGAATTGCCTTGTTTTTTTGATTTTTTGCTTAAGAATGCATGATAAAAATATTACGCATGAAAGCGATCTAGTAGCGCCGTTGAGATCGCCAGAAGCGTTGAGAGTCAAAAATGCTTCACCTATAGACCAAGAATCGAATACGTAAGTTTATATTTGCTAGTTTATTTGCTCCCGTTTAACGCTATCGATATACTAATGCTTTTACAAATTAATGTTGTAGTAGGTACAGTGTACACATATGAAAATCGTAAAATATCACCAATAAATTTTGTTCTTATAAGCTATTTTAAATTTGTATTTTAATATATATAGGCTCATGGTTCCCGGTTCACCGGCATTAAACAACAGTGGTAATTTCTCATCAATATTTGGAAATCGTCTGAAAAAAGGTAATTTCAAAGTAAAGCATAATATTACAATAATTATTGTTACTCTTGTCGAACGTATAATACAATATAATACCTATATCTCCCAAAAATTATAAATTTATACAATGTATAAAAACAAATGTGTGCTTTATTGTATGTATAGACGTTAAAAGGGCTGAAAGTATGAAAGCGGATGTGTACAAGAAACCCAAACGAACGCCTAGTTTTACCACTCGCAGGAGAACGCAAAGTTTCCGAAAACTTCAAAAATTGGAAAACGTGGACCAACTTCCCCCGGTAGAAATACAAGGGTTCTTGGACAGAAAGCACGAATTGCAGAGCAGTGGGAAAAAAGCGGCGGTCAGGTCGTGGAAAACTTTCTACACAGGTGAGTGAAACAAAATGAACACTTTTTCTAGAAATATTATTCATTGCTTAGGTACATAAAACGATTGCGAACGGTATTATGCTTGCTATAAGCGGGCTTGAATAAAATAAAATCGTGGTTGCTATTATATTGTTTGATGTTGTATAGTGTTATGTAATTACGGATTGTTTAAAAATGGTAGAAAAAATTTGAGAAAAAATGTTCTGATGGGAATATCTTACGTTATTATTGAGTGTGTTCCTAATCAGTGAAATAATACTATGTACAGATAGTTCTATCCTAGAATAACAATTTTTATTATATCGCACCTACAACTATTATAATATTCGGTATTATAATCGATTATTACTTAAGTAGTTAAGTAAATATATATATACGACTAGAATCTGAAAAAACAAATTCATAAAAAAAAAATGTTATACACTTCGAAACCGAATGAAACCAAAAATAATAATCATAATAATCATCGTGTCATTGCGTACAGTGTTGTGCGGCCAGCTGTTGTGCTTCTTCAAGGATCAGGAAGATTTCGTGTCCAGTAAAGCGGCAACGTCACCAATCATTGTGTTCAAAGCGAAATGCGAAAAGGCGTTCGATTACACTAAACGGAAACACGTGTTCAGGCTATGCTGCACGGACGGTTCAGAGTTCCTCTTCTTGGCCGACACGTCCAAGGAAATGGAAGAGTGGGTCAACAAGATCACGTTCCACGCGCAACTTCCACCCAGCCTGCAGCTTCTGAGCTACGATGATAACCAAAAGGTGCGTACTTGACTATAAATTCCATACATAATATCCAACCAATTTATCGGGCACACTCGGCGGGTTTATTCACATCCATATATAGACGATTTATCGATGTGTGTTATGAACAATTTTGACCAAAGATGATTCGGTTGAATTGTCACACAATATTATCGTCATCTCGTATGAAGTTATTTTTTTTTTGCTATTAAATAACAATAAAACAAATTTATTTTCCTCCCCACAGGGCTCCCCACGATCGGACTTACAGACTCCGGTCCCGTCGACGGTTATCAGCACTAGTTCGAGCGCGGCCACGACGCCGGAAACCGAACGCAAGCCACTCGCGCCGCTGCCGCCGGTGGTAAACGTCCGGAAAGACAGCCAACTCCGTCGACCCATACCAGTGCGACCGCCTTCGGTGGACAACATACCGTACCAAAACAATCACTCGGCCGTCGGTAAGTTCATATTATTATCACGCGGGACTTTTTCGAGAGATTTAAAGCGACCGAATCGACGACAATCCGACTGTAAAAAATATATATAAAATATCGTTGTAGACTTCGGCAAAAAAAACTACTTATTTCCGTCAGTTCTTCTTTAAGCTTGGTTCCCCGCTCGTCAAGTTCGTATGCCGTTGACAACAGAGGTTTATAAAATATTTTTTTGTTCTTTTAAGAGTATAATAATGATTGTATGCAGCGGAGCCGTCCGTATGTATATACTCGTATGTGTCTGAATATGTTAACGATTAAGACGAGCGATTGTCGACTGGGCATAATTATTAATATGTGTGTACGCTATTAATAATATTTACATGCTATATTCATATGTTATTTTGCTTTTTATTTCCAGACGCCACTGATTTCGGTACCAAAGCTTCGCCCTCCGGATATCCCGCGCGACCACATTCCTATTACGCAAACGGTAACAATGACTGGACCAAGGACGCAATCCACTCCAAGTCACCAATCCACCCCAAGTCACCAGGTTCGTCATTTACCACCCCTGTACACTCTTGCAGTGTCATTAAATGTATACGTTTTCAACGATGAACGATAGTAGGGCATATTAGCATCCCCAAATCGATCCATGTACGATAACTTTATGGTCGCGTTTTTATTTTTGCAGACGTCTCCCCGCCACCATTACCGACCACCGCGCCGCCGATCAAATCGGCTAACAGAGAAACGTGGACCTCGGACTACAGACACAGCGCCGGTGAGTTTTTTTCAATTGTTGAGTGATAATCTCTTGAAAGTAAAAGATTTTTGATAAGAAAATTACTATCGTCTTGTATTAATTATAACGTTGTTTGTAATAGCAATGTGATCTATATCTACCGTTAGTATACCCTTATATACTCCAGAATCACATAGCTCAGTCTCGAAATAGGTTTTTTATTTCACTCACTGACATGCGGTAATTCTTAGTTTGTGTACGGAACAAAATGTAACACTCAGTATAATATAATATAAGTATAGCCAGATAACTTACATAGACATATATTCATATCGCTTTTTGTAAAATTGCCTATTTTGCTGCTGTTGGTCTAGGAGACCTGTTAATTAAGGAGACGTTAATCTTATTTGTTTTATATATTCTAATATTAACGTTACCATTATTTACCTGTACCTCTACATAAAATACAAATTTGTATTATATTCGTAACTATATAGGTACGTTTCTCAGTTTATTTTTTTCATATTAAGTCTTGCTTCACGCTATTTCGTTTCAGACCGTTTTTTAACGCGATAAAAGTAAAGCAATATAAACGTCAACGATTTAAGCCAGGATTTCCGTCACAATTCAAAAATGTAAATAAAAATGATAAAAATTTATATACTATTTCATGTCGTTTAATGTAATATATTATTCCGAATACCTCCTATATACGTACTTACAACCCTTGAGTCTGTGTGTCTTGTGATGTTGAAAAGAACATTATTATGTTGGCCTAGTACTACAGTAACACAATATGTATCGCTGAAACGATGTTCCTTTTTATTTTTTTAGGTAATTTTTGTATATTAGGAGCACTTGCCTATCTTGATACATTTTGTTTAGGCCGCATAGAATACATAATATTATTGATATGTTTATTATATTTGTTTTATTCGTACTTGCCTTCATTGGTGGAAATCGAGAATCTAAAAATTAAAGATAATCGATCTGATCGATAGAATGTATAGGTATTTTAAAATGTTAGCAGTAGTTAATCGGTTTCTGCAACCAGGTCATAGGTACCACCTACATAATATTATAAGTCTTATTATTATAATATCTGTTATTACCTAGTTAATATAGTATGTGACCTGGTTCTGATGTAGCGCGGTGGTTGTATTCAGTCACGTAACGTGTTCCGACTGTTCCGAGTGGAAGCATAGGTGTCACTAGTTCCCGTATGGGTGACGATCCGGGATTTTAGTGTCAAATCTTCGCTGCACATTCACGTTTTCTAACCAACTGTACCCTCCCCCGCAGTAATGAACCTACTAAAAAGCCTAAGATCAATACGAAAAAAATAATAATTATAAAATACCTACCTATATTATTATGTCTGTTTCGTTTTGTATTTTAACTTGAGATATAGCGGAATATTATTATTATGCAGGTAGGTACTGTACAGTACTTGAACCCTGGCGGTAGTTAACACCAATAGACAACTAAATGATCGATATAAACTACGACGACGAGTGATCATGTTTTTTCTTCGACTTTTGCAGTGTACGCGAACATCGACACGCTCAAGCAGCCACCTCCGCCGGTGCCGAACAGATCGGCCACGTTGCCGGTGACGACGAGCAGCAGCCAGCAGCGGGCCAGCGAGAGTTCCAGCGAGAGCGAGCACCAGATGCCGATGGGCCGCAAAGACAAGCGTTCCAGCGTGCTGTCCAGCCTTTTCCGCAAGAAAAAGGCCACCAACCTGTAGACGCAATCCAGCTGCAGCTATAACGGCGCCTCGTGAAAATATTATGACATTACATATTATGATAAATATGATCAACGTTTTCCTATAGATTATATCATGTACACGATTTCCAATACGGCGGTGATCTGGCCGCCATATATTCACGTGTGGTATAGATTTAAGTAGTTCCAAATATACAATTATTGCGTTTTAATGATGCTGTGCATCGCATATATAGTCCGAACGGTTGTTTCGGAATCGGAAAGCGAAACCCGTGTAGAGGGCTTGAACAAATTCGAGAGGTTTCTTTTTCAAAAATCCGAGCAAAATAATTATCGAAAACAAATTACGTCTCGTAACGGTTTACAACTATAGGTAGGTAGGTTATAGTAGTCAGATGTATAAAATGTACTATAATATACCTACATAGGAACTAAATTGTGTTTATATTTTTAAACTTCGCCGATATAATATATGTGACACGAACCACGATCACCCCCCCCCCTATCCTCTCCTCCACTTGTGGTATATAACATTAAAACGCATACCGATCGTATTACAATTTCAATGTGTGTTTGTGTGTGTTATTTTATACTTATATCGTTGTGCGTATAATATTAAGTCAGTGTGCCATTCATTGTATACCTATCATAATAATATGCTGTGTATACGCGTTTGAGAGAGGAACCAACCCGAACCGAAACGGCGGTGCAGTCAATGTTGTATAATATTTGTATTATTATTATTACGAGTTAGATTTTATGGATACCTATTATATGTGTGTGATTTTTTTGTTTAATTTTATTCAGTCGCCAAACGACTTACATTTTTTTTTATTATATATTTAAATAGTTCTTAGGTAGTTGTAGTGTATACCTATCGCCGTGCGCCGTTTGCTTAAGGTGTTATTACTAACCAATGTCATATTATAATAGTAGTCTGAGTTTTTTTTTATTTGTTTTGCGTCTAAAAAATTTTACTAGAAAGAGGACGGGCCATTCCGCCATTGGATAAAATATCTACATTTATAGGTTTTATTTAAATTATTGATAAAGCACACTTTACTCGACTTATTATATGGGCATTGTATTTATATATTTATGTCATATTATAATGCGTAATGTCTTTTAAAGCATAATATATACATCATGCCATTATTATAGAAATTAGATATTTTTTAGTCATTTTTTTATACCATGTATAATTATGTTTAAATGGTTTTTTGTGTATTATTCATCTTTTATTGTTATAATATGTTTAATGTCTATGAATTTACGATTATTATTATTGTCGAAGCGATCATATTATTATTTATTACTGCTCCCCATATTATATTATTATGACGTAGGATTTTACATTAGTGATTAGAAAAAACTATTTTATACATTATTATTTTGCTTCTAATTAGAGTCCATGTTATGTTTGAAATGTATTTTTTCTCTTTTTAGTCACACGCGTATTTTGCCCTCATTATTAATTTCATTTTTGTTATATTGTAAATGTCATATTAAGTTTTTAGTTATATAGGTATATAGTTACACGCAAGAGTATACGCTATGCTTATATATTAAAAATTATTTATAATTATTATTATTACTATATTATTATATATATTTCTTTTTGATAATTTTATCATGCATACGTAGTGCCTTTTTACAAAATATTGTACTGTTATTTAAAGGATAGTGATTAATATTTATGTTCGAAAATTGTAAACTGTTTGTTTTTTCATCTATAAAAATACATCAGACTACTTATACTTTTATATTTCATTTTAATATGACTATTACATTTTTCATTTTAGACATCCTAAATCAGCGAACCTATCTTGAATTATCAAATATAAAATAATTGATATCATCATAATGATCCGTTATAATTATGTTTCACATGGTTCTAAACTCGACTGCACTAAACAAGTTTTTGGTTGGTATAATTTTCTCGGTCTATATGCAACTAACCGCATTGGCGTAGTCATAAAAACTTTTAAAAAGTTAAAACGTCAAAATACATTTTTTGAGAAACTATTTTCAAGTAGTGAAATCATATTTAAAATATCACTATAAATACATGTTTTCAGTTGACCGAAAATCGCAAAGATCCTTTTATTTGCAACTGTATATTTTTGCCAGTTATGTATGGTAAAATAAAAATTGTTCAAAGTGTTACTATTTAAAATAGAAAAGTACTATTAGATTCCCATAAAATCGCAGGATCTAGTACAAATATATAATATAACTTATCAATAATAACAATAAAAATAATATATGAAATTAATCAAATCATTTGTAAACCAATGGCCCATGTTGCGGAGGGCTTTTTACCAATAAAATAAAAAAAAACCAATAACGACCACATTCATACAACGACCCATACAATTACAACCACGAACCGGCGTGTGAGAACAACGATTGTTGAAGTATGCGTATGGTCTTAAGACGTATTTTGTAATGTTCTTAAGTATAAATGATTCACTGGAAGAACAAGGGAGTATTAGAATGAATCTATACACCATGTATATAAAATGTTAGAATAAAAATTTGGCGAAAATTACAAGTACCTATATTTATTCGTTTTTGAATTACAACAAAGTAAGAGTAATATCGATTTTGTTAAAAAATTGTTTTACTTTAAAATATTCGTTTTTCCTTAGTTTTTAATTATTTTGAAGTACTATTTGAATTTTCAATTTTGACCCAATTTCTAATCAGAAACAATCCTAAAAGTTTAAGATCAAAGCATTTATTCTACTATAAATTGTGTATACCCCAGGTTCTCAAACTCATTTTATCCACCACCCACTTTGAAAATCAATAATTTTCTAAAGCCCCCAAAAAAAGTTTCATCTAATCATTTGTAGACTCAAAGGTGTATTCAAGGGGGATGTGTGAGTCAGATCCCCCCATAGACCCTTTTTAATATTGTATTAAATAGTGTTCTTATAGTGTCAGAGCGTTACAAAGAAACATAAAAAAAAAAAAATGTTTGTCAATGTTTATTTCATCACACCAACATGATGGCACACTCTTACACTAATGACTAATTACAATTTTTCTGGGTCTTATACCACTCTCCCTTGGAGACTACCAACGCCAACGGGGGGAGGCATCGCCCACTTTGAGGAATGCTGTTGTATACCTACGTACACCTAATTGTGGTATTAAAAATATGGAAATCCCTTTAACGCGGTAAATGGTCGCGTTGACGCGTTGTTAAACATTTTAATTTCAGAATTTATAAATTATAATTATAATATTAAATTATATATAATAAATAGTTTATAAACTTAATAACACCCTTAATATACTTGGTCATTATTTCAGACTTTTTTACATTATATACATATACGATATGCCTATACTCCGTGTGTGTAATTTGTATGTAGTAGTACAAAGTGTTAGATTAGTCTAATGTTATACCTCACAGTACAAAGTGACCAAGAATCCTTAACATGGTGCATAGGTAACAATAAGGCAACCAAACACCAATCTATATTGTTCCAAGGCCCGGTTTAAACACATAATATTATGTTTCAGTATCACTAATACTAATATAAATTGTGGCTTACCCCACATAGTTCTAGCGTAATTACTAATTTTGCCATTTTTATTTATTATTTACAGCAAATCCGAACAATCTCTTTAGGTGTAGTTGCCTATATAACAGTCTTTGCAGTTCTATGGAACTGTACAATTAGTGAGAATATATTATCAAGTATAAATACTTTCAACAATGCTTACAATACCTACTTTCTAGAATTCATATTTTAATGATATAGGTAATAAACTAATAACTTTGAATGTACAATAATACAATATAAATATTTTAATAACTCATTAGTAAGAACTTACTAAAAACGAACAATAATAATGCAATATAATATTCTAGCTACTTTTTTTTAAAAAACGTGTTGTAACGTATCTAGGTATTTGCCTACAAATTAATGTTTGTTTATTTGTTTGTTTGTCTTTTATATATGCAGAAACTGCTGGACCGTTTTGAGTTAACCCTTATTAAGTTATAGGTTGCTCGTTGCAATAGGATCTGATGGCTTATGAATTTAGTTCTGAGTCAAGAACATGAAATATATATTTTTTTAAACTTAAATTGTTGTCACTGTTACAGATTATAATGTTTCTATTTTTTTTTAAATTATTATTATTACATATTAAGTAACCCATGGTAATTGGGTAGTTTTTTAGTCAGTTTTCTACTGTAACGGAGGTACGGTTGGTTTGGAACGCGTATGTGTGGCAACGATTTGCCACTAAGAACCGGGATGGTTAAGTAATTCGGGAACTAGTGATGGCAGGTAGAGTACATAATAATTTGTGACTGAAGCCACACGGAAAAAAATAATTACAATAATATTTTAGTTATCAGGGCCATTATCGCAATTTTGGTGTATGAGATTTGAGGCAAAACATAAGGAGTTAAAAGAAACGGCTCATTCTATAACTTCTCGAATAAATAACTTTAACTTTAGCACTGAAACAACAACTCCTGTTATCTTACCGACTTTTAACAACAACTAAAAATGTATACTCATCTAATACAGATTTAGGACCTATCATAACATTACCTCAAGAAACTATTACTTTATATAATAATACAATTACATACATGTCTACTCCATTTGATTTTTATAAAGACAATATAATTTTTCTTTCATGGATTCGTTTGAAAGGGATTTTATATAACACTAAAAATATGTCAATTATTCTGTGTCTATCTCAAGAACACAATATGTTACCAACATTTGGAAAAATTGACTCTTTATTTGTTGATTATTTAAATAGACCATTTGCTATCTGTAAGAAATTTAATACTTCATACTTTGATGATCATTTTCAAGCATTTAATGTAACACTTACTACAAGTTTTGTATGTATTTCTCTAGAAAATTTACAATGTGTGTATCTAACTCATCATATTAATACTTCCAGTGGCTTAACATTTATTACTTTAAAATTATAAAAATTAAATTACCTAAATATGAATATGGCGTGTACTAAAGTAAAAGTCAGAGCATATTTTTATTAAATAAATATTATTATTTTTTGTGTATTATTTATATTAATTTATAAAATATGTAAAAATAATAAATTAAAATATTTTTGCATTATGTATTATTTTTAAATAAAAATACTATTATTATTATTTATTATATCTTTGTATATTTATTTATTTATCCTTAAATATCATAGGTATTCAAAAACGCAAAGGAGATGATTAACTATTGAATTAACATTAGTACCTATGCTAATTGTCAATAGAATTATAGATATTTTGAAGTTAATCCAACTTAAAATTTATAGTTGAAAACTAGTATATTTAACTATACATTTTAATTACTGCCACAATATTTTTATGACAAAATTATTAACATTCATAGTAGAATCAACTTAAAAATTGGTTAAATCAACATTAATAAGTAACGAGATTTTATAGTTATATGAATTAAACTTTATAGTTATAATATAGTATATAATTATACTGTTAAAATAACTATAAAAATTTAACTATTTAAATTTTGTAATTGGAACTAAATTTATAGCTGTCACATATGTAATTATAATTTATAGTTAAATATACTGTAATTACAGTTAAATTAACTATCTATTTTTTTCCGTGCAGACACCGGGCCACACTATTACTATAATAATAAGATAAAATATGACACATAAACATACATAAGACAAAAAATAATTGTCTTATAAGAAATAAATAATGTGACTAATGACTAAATAATGTTTTGAACAAAATAAGGTTCTATAATAACTAAAGATGTATTTTCGAAAATAATAAAAAAATGATGTACTAATTATGAACTCAACTTGAATGAAGTAATTAAAAAATGTGTAAATAATTATTCAACACCCGATAAAGACTTTCAAATTGAAACATATTTTAAACTACGAAGTACAAACAACAAAGGTTAGAGACAATAATAAGACCATAAGACAAAAAGTAAAGAAATATATTTTTTTATTTTTTATTATTGAACTCAAACCTGGCAACCATGACCATTTGCTGTTTATTGAAACTATTTTTCAGTCATGTTTTTAACAAAAAAAAAAAACGGTTTCGTGCAGGCCCTCTCTTGTCCCAGACGTGAACAGCTACTATGACTTTTATAAAATTTGTCTAATTGAATAAAATTAATTACATTTTATGTTTCTAACACATGTGTTATAGTAATAAATGATGAAATTATTTGATTAGACATTTTCAAATACGCCCTTGCATGGTCTTAAAAAGCGGAGCGGAGCTATGAATGTTTTGATTTTACAATGATGTGTTTTTTTCATTTATTGTCTGCCTGTCAAGATTTTTTCTAGCAGACAAATTGCTATGATTATCAACTACTGCAGCATCTTTCTGGTAAGAAAGAGATCCTAAGTGTTGGGATAAACAAAAATAAATAATTATTGAAAAACGAAGTTGTTACGTATTGCTTTGAGTAGGTACACTGTTTTTAGTACCTAATAACTAATAAGTAATATTTTACTAATGTATGACGTGCACAGGGACGGATTGGGCCATAAGGAAATCGGGAAATTCCTGATGGGCCGCGTACTAAGTAAATAGCAGAAAAGTAGACTTAAATATAACCTATAATAAATATTACCGTTGATTTTAAATTATTCATTCTATAATCAATGATATTAGTGATATTACGTAATAACATGCTATAATATTATAACGTAAAGCGTGTTAAATTGTCCTATTGACCAATGACCCTGTTATATCGTGTGATTTAACAAATTGCGGAAAACCATCGATGTTATTATTATACATAGTTGCTATATTATGATGTTTATATGTTACTTTGTGTACAATATTAAATTATATATGACTGAACTGCACGAAGATGACGTGACCATCCACCTCTTAAAATGTATTGTACCTATTAACAGCAGATATCATTATATCAACTATATAAGTGCCCAGTGCCATTCACAGAATTGTTCATTCCGAATATTCGTAATTTGACGCGTTTTCTGGTATACTGCGGTGAGCGAGTTGTGACTTCTGCTAAAAATTAATAAGCTAGTTAGTAGTTACTATTAAATGACATTGATTATCAATACCATAATATTATATTAATTATACTACTATGATTTTATATAATATTTACAATTACCTAATGATAATCAATAGTAATATGTGTGCCACTTTGCCACTAATTTATTCATTGTTTTCATCGTCTTAAAAGTGCATAACGTGGGAAATTTAAAAGCAGCTTACATTTAATTTCATTGTTTTAATATTAAATTTTAGTTGAAAGTAATTTTTCGATACTTTAATTTGTAACTAGTTATGTGCATTTCTGAACAGTACAATTTAAAATATCAACGTAGTTACTCACGTAATACTCGTTATGAATTGAGAATAATTTAATAGTCTATTCTTTTTCAAGGTATTTACCGTGTTCGATTGTATTGATTAAATCAACTGACGCTAAGATGTCTTCAACAGTTTCCGAACCAAACATGCAAAAATTGATGGATGAAATTGAAAAATTAATTAAACGAGTATCTAAATTTATTTTATTTTAAAAAAGTTATAAAATTTAATGATTTAAGATTTTAATAGTATTTTGATATTTTGAATAAACACCCCACAACAATAATACATTTTATCATAAATACAAAACTGTATAAAAACATCAAGTACCTAAATATTTTTGAATTTATCTAGGCAAATCGTGACCATGAAGACAAAATTGAACATCTACAAAAAGTAAGTTGATCTATATTTTCAATTTTTATTTATAATTTGAAGATTTAAGATTTTAAATGTTGATATGTTTTTTAAAAACAATAACTTTACACAACAACATATTTAATAATAAGTGCCTAGTTCACAATTTTACTGAAACAAATTAAATGTACATATTCTTAATACATTTAGGAAAACAATGAACTTGTCTCTGATAAGACCAACCTCACCACTAAAATTGAGGAGTATGAAGACAAGATTCGAAAACTAAAACAGGTAAATTAACCTATTTTTTTTTAAATAATATATTTTGGTTATTTTTTTATTTTATTTAAGCATTTTCCATATAATAAAATTATATCTCATAATATATATATATAACTGTAACAAAACTTTTGTATTTATAAATTTAAATTTATTAAGGATGGTCAATGGTCATAGTTCTTGTTTCTGTGGAATATATGCAAGATACATTTTTCAGTTGAAATTGAATAAAGTTATTTTTTATTAATTATAACTAACTATTGTTATAGGTTACGAAGTTGACTTCTTACAATGTTTTGCAAATTTATTTTTCAAATCCATGTATTATATTTTGATTTGTTGGATGGACTAAATTTTGAAATTGTCTTTTTCTTTAAATTACATATTTTTAATACATTTATAGGAAAACAATGAACTTGTTACTGATAAAACCAACCTCACGACTAAAATTGAGGAGAAAGAAGACGAGATTCGAAAACTAAAACAGGTAAATTAACCTATTTTTTTTTATTTTTTTTTTTTATTTAATCATTTTTCATATAATAACATTATATCTCATAATATATATGTAACTGTAAAACAACTTTTGTATTTATACATTTAAATTTATGTAGGATGGTCATAGTTCTTGTTTCTGTGGAATATATGCAAAATACATTTTTCAGTTGAAATTGAATAAAGTTATTATTTATTAGTTACTACTAACTATTGTTATAGGTTACGAAGTTCACTTCTTACAATTTTTTGAAATTTATTTTTCAAATCCATGTATTATATTTTGATTTGTTGGATGGACCAAATTTTGAAATTGTTTTTTTCTTTAAATTACATATTTTTAATACATTTAGGAAAACCATGAACTTGTTACTGATAAAACCAACATCACGACTAAAATTGAGGAGGAAGAAGACGAGATTCAAAAACTAAAACAGGTAAATTAACCTATTTTTTTTAAAATAATATATTTTGGTTATTTTTTTATTTTATTTAACCATTTTCCATATAATAACATTATATCTCATAATATACATATAAGATATAACTGTAAAAAAACTTTTGTATTTATAAATTTAAATTTATCTAGGATGGTCATAGTTCTTGTTTCTGTGGAATATATGCAAAATACATTTTTCAGTTGAAATTGAATAAAGTTATTATTTATTAGTTACTACTAACTATTGTTATAGGTTACGAAGTTCACTTCTTACAATGTTTTGCAATTTTATTTTTCAAATCCATGTATTATATTTTGATTTGTTGGATGGACCAAATTTTGAAATTGTCTTTTTCTTTAAATTACATATGTTTAATGCATTTAGGAAAACAATGAACTTGTCTCTGATAAGACCAACCTCACCACTAAAATTGAGGAGTATGAAGACAAGATTCGAAAACTACAACAGGTAAATCAACCTATTTTTTTTTTAAATAATATATTTTGGTTATTTTTTTATTTTATTTAAGCATTTTCCATATAATAAAATTATATCTCATAATATATATATATAACTGTAACAAAACTTTTGTATTTATAAATTTAAATTTATTAAGGATGGTCAATGGTCATAGTTCTTGTTTCTGTGGAATATATGCAAGATACATTTTTCAGTTGAAATTGAATAAAGTTATTTTTTATTAATTATAACTAACTATTGTTATAGGTTACGAAGTTGACTTCTTACAATGTTTTGCAAATTTATTTTTCAAATCCATGTATTATATTTTGATTTGTTGGATGGACCAAATTTTGAAATTGTCTTTTTCTTTAAATTACATATTTTTAATACATTTATAGGAAAACAATGAACTTGTTACTGATAAAACCAACATCACGACTAAAATTGAGGAGGAAGAAGACGAGATTCAAAAACTAAAACAGGCAAATTAACCTATTTTTTTAAAAAATAATATGTTTTGGTTATTTTTTTATTTTATTTAAGCATTTTCCATGTAATAAAATTATATTTTTTAGGCGGCACTTCTTTCCGGATAGTCACGGTGTCTGGAGAGAATGGCCGCCATCCCCCACCCGGTCATGGCAGAAACCTACGGGTGCCCACTAGAAATTCTACCAAAACAAAACACACGTCTTAAAAACCTACCATACCAAACCCTACCACTACCACAATTATCCTAAAAAGTAAAAACAGCTAATGGCCATAGTTACCGAGCTTAAAAAAAACAACAACATAATATTTCATAATACATAACTGTAAAAAAAAACTTTTGTATTTATAAATTTAAATTTATTTAGGATAGTCATAGTTCTTGTTTCTAAAAATGAGGAATATACGCAAAATAAATTTTTCAGTTGAAATTGAATAAAGTTATTAGTTATTAGTTATTACTAACTATTGTTATAGGTTATGAAGTTTAGTTCGCACAAAATTTTGCAATTTCATTTTTCAAATCCATGTATATATTTTGATTTGTTGGGTGGACTAAATTTTGAAAATTTCTTTTTCAGATCTTGTTTTGATACTAATTACTTTGAATTCATTTTAATGACTTCTTTGTTCATTTTGAACCTATTTTATTATTATATCTGTGTCAGAAGTTCTAAAATGTTCTGAACATGGATTTTTATTATAAATAACTAATAAGTGTAATAGGTCAAGTGGAGGAAATTGACGAGTCCAAGTTTTAGTCAGGAAAATAATCAATGTATTTTAAGGGTTAATGGCTCAGTCATTTTTCACCACCAAAATGCATTTATGTTGCGGAAAAAAGTTTAAATAATACCCGAATTGAAAAAAATATTTTAAAAATAAAGTGAAAACTAAACGGCATTTAATTCATATTTTTTTTAATTTTTAAATTATAAAGAATTATTAAATTAATTTATTAAAAAAAAAATTCTTTTAGCCTTGTATGTATTCGGTATGTGCCGAATTTAGCAATTTGAAAATTTATAACCGTATGAGTGTGTCGCCTGTCAAGGGGGATAAAGGTGAACAAGTAAGAACATAATAATTGTATACTACATTTACTCAAACAAAAGTTAACATAAATGTTTATAATTTTAGTGCACAGTGTGGTGGTGCCCAAAGCATTCAAATTTTGATACTATTGTTAAGGATTTTAAACCAAATAATGAAACAGATCAGAAAATATTACAACTTGGAAAAGCTAGAAATGCTTACTGGAAAAAAAATGGTGAAGTAAGTAACTTAAAAACAAAAAAACGTGTACATTCATTTCTTAATCATGAGAGGAAATCACAAGTTTATTTATTTTTAGATTAAATGCTGCAAAAATGATCGTAAAAAAAAAAATAGTAACGATTTTTCTCCACCATCAAATTGGCCTAAATGATCCTAATCAATGTGAATAGGTAAAAGAACACTGCACACAATAATATTGTAAAAGTATGATCATATTTTAGCTATAAAATTCATATTTAATTTTTTATGATTATACTGAAATACTAATAACCTAATAATAATCAAATATTTATAGATTTATAATATAATATTTAGTATTCAAATATTGTCACATCCTCAAATGTTAAAGTAAGTATATAATAAATATGTACATTACCTAAATGTTGGAATACTTATTAGTTATTTATTAATCGATAAGTCATCAAATTAAACTTTTAATAAAACCCTAACTTTAACCATGATTCTATTTAATTAATAAGTTAATAATTATTAACTTTCATAATGTACTTTATAGTGTTCACAATGACTTTTCAACTACTTGTGTTCTTTAAATGCATGTGTGCTTACTACTTAAAGTACATGTATTCTGCAAGTACAAAAATAAATTAGTTAGCCTACCGTATCCCTTCAAGGTCCTCCCCTTAATTGAGCTTTATAGGTTTCCATAAAACTAATTTCAATTTTCAGATGGTTAAAGCAAAAGTTACAAATACCTATGCATTAAGGAGACTGAAGTACATGCATTTATGTTCCCGGTTGGGAAATCAAATTCTCCAATAAGTCGCAAAAATTGTTTCTGTAAAATGTTCGATACAAAAATAATAATGTCACTATTGAGAAATCGTATACCGGGTAGATATGTCAAGTCCACCGATAGCACCGGTGGCTATATGAAATAAAACTGTAGTTGTCCATTATAATACGATATAGACCTAGACAGCAATGTGTAATGATAATATCATAATATTGTCAGCTGGATAAGGAAAAAAGAAAAATAATTTAAACATTTTAAAAACAATTTTAAATCACCACTTTTACAATTGCGTTATGCTGTCATACCTGTTTTTGTGCATACAGGTTTCGAATTGCTCTTAATGCTAATATTAGTTGTGCTGGAGTGAAAATATATTCTTGCCTCTTGGAATTGGCAAGGTGTAGTGTTCATTTCTACTTATTCAATTATTCAATGAATTATTTAAAACTGGTCGCTCACTGCGATTTGTATTATTCAGTGCGTAGTAACAAGTTCAGAATAAGTCCTTTGTATTTAAAATATAAATGTGTTAAGTACCTATATGTGGTTTGACTGTTTGAGAGTTAATTATTATTACAAGATTGAATCCTAATGGACTTATGGCCATTAACCTAAACCTATAATGGTTAGTTTGGTGGAATTATTTTAAAATACAGGTGATATAATATTCATAAAATAGGTATACTTGTACAGGTCCTATGACCATCACGAAGTACCAACAAGTCACAGCCGCCATGACAAAAACATCGATTTTTTTTATTAATGATATTTCACAAGTGCATACCATAGGGAATTTAATTGTTTTAATTTACGTATTTTGTTGTAATCTAAAAATATTATTCGTGAATAGGTACTCAAACTTTTAAAGTACTTTATAACGTGTATTAACACATTTTAATATTTCACATTATATTTATTATTCAAATTTTTTTTTTCTGCCATATATTTACTGCATGAATATGGAATTGTTCGCCGATGGAAGCATCATAATTCATAATAATCAAATATCCGGCAAAATTGATAAAACGTGTTTCCGTCATCGTATCAATACCACCTCTTCCGACGACTGAACTAAACATAAGCCATCGAACGATGGACATTATACTTTTACTGTCAGTTATTCTGTTGATTCCATACATTTTCCATTGTGAATTTGATCACAACTTGGAAACCCAAGTCCCAAACTCTGTATACACTATTAGCTTTTCAAATTTAAATTTAAAAACCGCACTTAACACCACATTACAGCCATCTGTACAATACCACGACCTTTGTAGTCAAGGGTAATTTAACATTGTTAATTATTATTACCTACAAGTTTAATTTGGTGGATGAACCACTTAAGATGAAGCTCGTATTAAATTTTAAATTCTTATAAGTATTCAAATTGAGAATGTTTTGAATATTTAACAATAAAATAATATTTGCGGTATCATAGTACCTACTATGGTAAAACTAGTAAATATTTTGACTTGAAATAATTTTTTAACAAAAAAATCAGATTTATCGTATTATTAATTATTAAAATATCATAGGTATCATCAATGATATTATTGTATGTATTAATAACACACGTATTATACATGTGCCCATAATCAACTAAAAATATTTTATGGCTATAAATAGAGTAACTTGCCAGTAAACTTTTCTATTTGCTTAAGGTAGATCAATATTTGTGGAGAATCTCCTATTAAAATAAACAATTTCAGAATTTTGATGAATTTTAAATGCGTACAAAAATTAACCATCATGCATATTTTGGTTATAGTCGGTAGATGTTTTTTTATAGTGAGAATCAAATTAAAAATTTTAAATCTTTATTATAGTAATATCAGAGATAATGATGTTTACAATTTTTTAGGTACTATATGTTATGTTTAATTTGTCTGACATTCAACCATCATTACCTAATTTAGTATTATAAAATCTATAGTTCGTTAGCTCATTATTGTAACGAACTAATAGAAAAATGTTTTGCGTCAAATAAGTTAAGATTAAGGTGGTTTAATGTTTAAACCGAGATTTTGAAGAGGACGTCGAGGAAACCGAATATAATTTGTACCTATATCCAAGCCATACAGTTAAAAACAGAACCAGTTAAAAAACCATTTTTGATTGTTTGAATTACGTAGGTAGTTTTTTTAACTTGGTGCATGGATGTATAAAATGAATAACAGTTTTCGAAAACAATATATTTTTTAAATAGAGTACCAATATTAAGGGTTAGGTACTTTAACTGATCGTTATAATTCGTAACTGCATCTGATATTCAGTGTTCTGTTTTCTACTGTGTATGGTAAAATATAGAAATCAGACAACAGCAAAAATCATACTGACAAATTTAAACAAAAATAAAAATGTTTGTTTATTCTTCACATCATATGTCACATACGCTTATATACTAGCTATAGACGAGCGAGGCCGTTTTCGACCAAAAACGTACCCTTCCCTTTTCGGCCGATTCACTTTTCGACCAAATTTAAAAAAGGTAGATTCCCTTTTCGACCGAAATCGTACATTTCACTTTTCGACCAAATTTAAAAAAGACTGATTCCCTTTTCGGCCAAAACAAAAATGTATATAATATATGTAAAAAGAAATAATATACAATAATAATTATTATGTATAAATCACATTTTTAGGTATGGTTTTGTTAAGTTAGTTTCAAACAATTATTTTAAAACGCAACGAATCAGAGCTAACAAAAATCAGACAATGACGGAACATAATAACTATATATCTTATACCATTTTTTTTTTTTGTAATTTATAAATTATTTTAAACCATAATATGAATAGGTTTGTGACATATTAACATAATTAATTTATATTTTAAATAATTTTAAACATTTTATGCAACCTATTATTTTAATAATTTTCTAGAAAATATAGTATATAACATTAATTATATTGTTAATGATAATAATTTTACAACAATTCTATACCTATTAGTTTATTTGTTATATAGGTATATATAATACATATTATTATTGACAAAATGTTTGTACTATTATTAAATTTTTTTATAAAATATTGCACATATTAACATAAAAATCATGTTAATATATTAATATTTTCATATTTTAAAAATGTTCTATACATTATTTTACAACATTTTATGCAACTTATAAAAAACTATATTGTAGCAATTTTTTTTTTTTACATATATTTTTGTTTTAGCTGAAAAGGGAATCAGTCTTTTTCAAATTTGGTCGAAAAGTGAATCAGCCGAAAAGGGAAGGGTACGTTTTTGGTCGAAAACGGCGATGCTCCTATAGACTCTAAAATTTTGGTCAGCAGAGTATAATATAATAGGTTAGCACAAAGAAAAACTATGGTATCTAATACAGGCAAATATCTATATTAATATGAAAATATTTCAAGCCAATACATATAGGCTATATTAATGGAAACCCATTTCAAATATTATATGTATGAATGTGCTTTCGAAATGTTTTATCTGCTGTGAGGGCAACAGACTCAAATTATACTTTTATGATTTTCGACCAAAAATAAAAATATAACTTAAATAAAATATTAATTTTTAAGGGACCCGATGCTGAATTTACAAATTGTCCGCAATTCCATAATATTTGAAAATTATATTTTATATTTTAATTGCCACCTTCATTATAAAACTTTTTCACTTTAATTTACTGCCCTGCATTTTTTAGGAGGGGGAGGTTAAAACAGTTCATTATTTCAAAAATAATAATTTCACTGAAAAATGTCCTAAGGCCTTGTAGAGTTGTTAGATATTGATAACTATTTTTGTATCTGAAAAAAGAAGACTCCACAGGCCTGATTGAATTTCAATTTTTTAATTTAATTTTAAATAATAGTATGAAATAATTCGTAAAAAAAAACTTGAAATTGTCTTATTTGTAAAGACACATCATTATAGCTAAATTGCTTTTTGATTAAAATATTGAGACAAAAAGAAATTGGAACCGGGCGCCTTAATGAATTTTTTTAAATCACCATTTTTACAATGGTGCCATACCTGTTTTCATGCTTATAAGTTTCTAATTTATTGTTCTTTAATGTTAATATTAATTGTGCAAGTGTGAAATTTAAGTGCCCGGAAACATTCTTATATTTGGCAAAGAGTGGGGTTTATCGCAACATATCTAATGAATTATTTAAAACCGATCGCTCTGTGTGATTGCCATTTTTTAATGTAAATATTTCTAAGAATAAGTATTTACTTAGCATTTAAAATATGGATGTGTGAATTATGCGGATTGAGAGTTAATTATTATTAAAATACTGAGTGAGTACTAATGGACTCATGACCATTAACCTAAACATAATGGTTAGTTTGGTGGAATATTTTAAGACGCACCTGAAGAAATGCTCATATTATTTGTACAAAACCTAACCATAATAGGTACCAACAACTAATAAGCCACATCCAC